GATAGATGTCCATGAAATGTAAGCTAATGCTTTCAGCATACAATGTTTTAATGTTATTGTTTGTAAGTTGATATTGTCATGCCTCACGAATTCCTTGCACATAGTAACTGATTAAAGGTTCTTAGAATGATTAATCGATCACGTGCATTAGGGGGATGTCCACAGTGAATCAAGCTAGAACCGGAAGTGTTGAGCCTAGATTTTTCACTTGGCATGAGAAATATCACAGGCGCCGGAGCTGCAAGTGAAGGGGAACTGCTGAGTTAACACATTGCGGATAAACAGCTTTCTGACTAGTATGTTGTCTATGTTCTACCAAAAAATCATGGATGTCACACAATGGAGACTGTCACGCAATTCAGCCATACAAAAATTGTCACGCTGTCACGGATTTGTCTGCCAATTATTTTATGACATTCCTTTATTTTCCATTTTCTCATTCCTTTCATCTATTCCAAAGCATATCACCTTGGTGACGGCCAATCTTTAGTTACTGTTTGGTAGTCATAGAAACGATGAAACCATAGCAGCAATGACCTGTGCTTGGTCACTAGATTGTACCAAACAATGTCGAGACGTTAACAACATGTTATGACTGGTGGCAAACTGAACATCCTTCAAAACTCTAGTGATTATGACTGGCAGCCACCAGCYAAMAAACACTGCCAGAAATAACAGCGATTGTGAAGAATAAATGATGAATTGATTGATTTTTCTCCCGATCGATAGTACTCTTAAATTATCGTTACAGAACAAATCCAGTACACTTGATGTGAAAATGAAATCATTTCATTCAATTTTCCTTCTTTTTCTTTTCGCGTCACTGATTTAAATACTAGGTGTACAAACTGATTCAAAGTTAAAACTTTGAAAGAACAAAACTTAGAAACAAGAATTCTTACTTATTGATGTTCAGTATTATTTTTGCGTTGAAAAATTGGTATTGTCAGTTTGTAAACCAGTATCTAGTTTGTTAGTGATGTATTTGGTTGGGATTAGATGTGAAGTAATCAATATTTTACGCATTTCAACTTTTAATGCAGCAACGTCCATTTTATGCTTTGACGTCACACATAGCGACAATCATTGAATTCTGAAAAAATAACAACAACAACAACAACAACAAGAATGATGACTGATAGGATAATAGAATCAGCGATAAAAAGATGATTATGATAGGAGTGGGACTCGAACCCTTGACAACTAATTTCAAAAAAAAAGATCGAGACATTGTTTAAAGCTCATGCGTCGAATCGACTTACATCCCGGTTGAGATTTCGGATCTTCCATGCTATTCCGAGGTACTTGACGTAACTTTAATTTACGCTTACTATTTGTCTCAATCTTTTGAGTCAAGAAATGAAGAAGCTAATCGGCTTCTAGGCCATAGATGATTAACCCCTTGCACCCGAAAATAATCAAAAAAATGTTGAATTGAGTTAGTTTATCCGATGAAATTTGTCAAGGGTCTATATAAGTGCGTGCAGGCCAGTGTGCGGTATTAGGGTATTTCGTTCACTCGTGGCGAAAGCTTGCGGTTTTGAGCATTGCATTTACCGGGTTCGAATCCAAGTTCAGTTTCCTAAAGTATACAACAAGTTGATCCCTTTTCTCCTATTGTTTTCTCTCTTCTCTCATGTTTTTTTCCCTGCATATTTTCTTTTTTGGTGAAAAAGAATTTTCTTATTTTTGTTCTAGTTATGACAAAAATATTTCCTTTCTATAAATTGCGGTTGCTCCTTTCTAGATGATTAGGTTCTAGAAACAGAATATAGGCGGTGGGGAATTTTAAACCTTGACTATTCTTTGACGTCTTTTTATCTCGCAAAAATAAAATCACTGTGGGCGGGATGTTTGTTTAGAAGGTGGCCGCGCGTAGGCTAATGACGAGTCCTATAATCCCTTTGGGGAATACGATATCATCATTCATTTAAAGCCGTTGAACCGTCCATGGCGAATTTTAAAGGTCATTATTTTCTGTCTTCTTCGCAAAGAGACTGACAACAAGACAGTAAAGAATTATAGAAAACAATGAGTTTTGTATATTCAATCTACTAATGCAATCTATGTTATCTTTTCACAGGCGACGGCAGATCTAAAATTATATTTGAAAAGCGCGCCAAGAAATCGACTCGAAGACCTACTCAATGGATTCAAATGAAATGTCTTTATATCAGCTATTTAGCTACAGTAATTCAGAGGTGGGCCATTAGTAGCTAATTAATTGTAAAGATATTCTATCGCAAAATGTTCAAAACCATCGACAGTGAATTCGTGTCTTGTTGGGCCTCCTGTGTCGTTCTTCTGTCGAGGACACAGGAAGCCCAAAAATTAGCGTGCTTTCTCCCGAACCAAAACTTTTGCGCCGGCTACCTAAAACGTTCTGGAACGAGATTGAGTTGAAAAGCTACTTTATTTACTGAATGAGAAAGGCTAACTATCTTTTTTGGCCTTAGTCTGAGCATGCTACGCGTGAGGGAGCATAAGGACGAGGGCTTCAATCAAGGCAGATAAAAAATACAATTCAATCTATTTCAATAGCTATTAGAAAAAAAAAACAAACACTGATTAAGTTAAATTCAAATCAAAAAATAAGAACAAAAATAACAATGATGTGCATTACTTTTGCAGTGTTTTATTTAATGTATTTTTGGTATTTGATAGCTTGTGTTTAAATCTACTGCAACGGTATATAGATTTACGTTGCGCAAAAGTGGAATTTTTGTAATTGTCGTACATGAAATCAAATCACTGTAATTGATGAGCAAGTGTTCGAACCTAAATGTACATCTAGTCGTGAACTCAATAATGCTGGCTCACTATCAAATGTGATAAAGCATTTTGTCATCCTCAGAGGACTTAAAACACCCATTTGTACCGAACTGTACATTCGTTATCACCATTTTCCAGTAATACTAAATCGACTCTATAACTATATTTAATTTGCCTAAGGAGTATGCATCATTGTAACATCCCCATTATGGACCAGTCATTTGATATCCCCCGCACCCCCCCCCCCCCCCCACACACACACTCTTTTTAACAGTATGCATAGTGTCCTTGTTTCGGGATACCTGTGCCATCTTCTAATGACACAGGAAGCCCAAAGAAAGAGTAGTCTCCGATGGAGAATATCAGATGAACATTAAATCATTATAGTGTCTACTAAAATACACTTAAAGTTACTGTTTATGTTTTTACAAAATTACATGATAGTTGACCATGCAGGAGTTGTCACGCTTACGCCTCATCGGTTCATCATCGGTGCCAGTAAGGCGGCCCCCGAGGATTCTGCATAGTCTCATATAAGAATTCCACAACATTTACAAAAACCCTCGCTGCAAACTCAATTTCTCGCATTCTTTGAATGTGTCGCAAGAACTCCACCTTTGAAAAAGTATGAGATATTAGTTGTCATAATTGATATTCAATGTTATTTGATAAAGAGCTTTTCCCTATTTATTCTAACCTGAGTATCAGGCTCTCGGGGGGAAAAACGGCCCCCTCGAAGGCCTGATACTCAGGTTATATTTATTCCCAATAGTCGACCCAATAAGACATCCGACTGTTTTATTCACCAACCCTATCCCAAGATGCATGGTGTATCTCCCAACCCTTTACTGAATCCATGAATCACACGCCATCTCCGTCGTACTCCTCTGAATAATACTGTAGAGTCTGTAGATGGCGTTTGTGCAAAGTCGGATGCGTTCGAGACTCCCAGAGGCTTTATATTCAGTAATGATAAGGCATATTTTGTGCTGTATTCGCTTATATAAAAAGCTCTGAATATGATAAGCAAGCTTTTGCTGATAGATGTCCTAAAGATTCAGCCCGTGAGGAATAGATAACTGATTTCATACCTCTATTTCTGCGTTCCTCTTCTCTTTTTCATAAATACGGGCTTTTTCCTTCTAAAATTACATAGAAATATCGTGGTGTCATGATTATTTTCATAGATGGATTCAGAAGCGATTTAAGGGGCGCTTTGGAAATATTTAAATTAAATATGGGTAATAGACGTAACAGTTCTCTTTAAAAGTCGCATCAAGGATTTCATGACTCAGTCTTATTGTGATACTAAAATGCTGGTCTGAAAACTATACCAATGGAAGTTTAGAATTATGTTTTTAACTGACCTTAATCTTCTGTGTATTTTCCTCCGCCGCTTTGGCGGCTTTTTCGGCCTTAGCCAGGGACTCCTCGTAGTACTTCAACTGTTGCAAGAGTTCAATGCTTTGCTTCTTTTCCTTTTTAAGTTCCTGAAAATGTTAAGTTTGAGGCAGTGATTTAATTATAGTACACATCCCTTTCAATCTAAACAATTCTTATCTAACCGGATGAAAATTCATAAACACCGATGTCTTGACGTCCTTAGCACCACGAGCGTTGCTGGAATACTTTTGCTCGACTTCATGGTAAGCATCAACAATGTCACTACGCTGCATCTTAGATCCTTCTTGACTATGAAGGCGGGCAAGGACTGGGTCAAGGATGGTTCGCTTGAGTTCTTTGATAAGCTGAGTGCAAAAGGTTTCGGTTTCTCTGCTGTTCCTCTCGAGCCATGATGACAGGATGGACTCTGTTCGATCCTATTGTAATAAACCAATTTTAAGTCTCCAATGAGTTGATAAAACTTGGTAGAATTTGAATTAGGGTTTGGTTCCCTTCAGTAAAACTTCCTGAATAAAGATTGCCAAGACTAAAAAATGAATGTTATGAATGTTCGATGCATAGTATAATTATCGAATGATCAGTGCCGATCGAAGGTGATTTTCTTATGGTGAACCCCGTTACCTACCTCCAACTCCTTTAAGTACTTGTCAACGGTTTTGATCGAAAACGAGAAGGTCTCGTTGCGGAACATTTCAAGGCACTTTTCCATGGCGTTGTCATGCGCAGATCGTAACAAATCGGCTTCACAAGGAATTTTCTTCTCGACGAGTGACATCATTTCCTGTTCATATACCTGCACAGCATCAGCTAAGACCTCTCTGCATTTGGTTTGTACAAATGTGTCCCAGGCGTTTTGTACGTTGGGTACAGCACCAGGTGTGTTGAGTGCCTCTACGAACCGTTTGGTCAGAGCTGCTAGCGCTGAAAAGGAATTTTATGAACACATATAAGTTTTAAAAAGAGAACGACCAGAAACTGATGATATTATTGCGTTACATACAGCACGTAAAAGTGTGCAGTTTTATTTCTTCAACAATCGTAAAGTTTTGTGGAAATTCATTCAATTTCCGTTGTTTCTTATCCTTATCCACGTTTTGTTTGCATTTTACCTCATCCTTGGGAACCCCGGCATGCAGGCATAATCTTCTGTCGTTTGTTCCTCACTCTCAGCATTAATACTAGGAGTGAGGAACGAACTCTAGAAGATTAAGCCTGAGTTCCCGAGGATGATTTTACCTTCGCCAGTGACGAACTCTCCTTTGTTGATAGACTTCTTGGACGACAGCTTCGAGTGAAGGATATCTTTGAATTCATCAACTTTCTTTAGGAATTTTGGGTTTACTTTGGATTCGTCATCGAGACCCTTTAAAATCTAGACATGTATCAATAAATGATTAATTTATTTTGAACCATCCACATGCCTATGTCATAGTGAACACAGGCTTCAACCTTATGTTTTGCAATAGCTATGACAACCACGGAATCAATTAATCTATGCAAAGTTTGAAAGTCTGCTAGGAGGGATCAAAATCACATGACTTTGATGCCAATGGAGAAATAATTTTAGAGACATGCTCATTGGAAACCTTAGAACAAGATGCAAGATACTAAGTAAAGCAGGCTTGTTTTGCAGGTAACTACTGTCATTGACAGAATTGCTTTGAATTGTTTTTGTTTTTTGTCATCAAAAAAGTCAGCAATCAAATTTGCAAGATGCTTGTCTGATGAAGCTGATGGAAAGTCTTTTTATTGACATTTTTGTAAGTCATCTTTTCAAAAAGTAGAAAACAGCACTTTCTGATCACTCTTGTGCTCATTGATAATGTTAGATTAGATAACCTGATTAGATCACTTTATTTGCATCAAAAGATATATCTTGCCAAAAAAAAATCGTTAAATCCTGTAATCGTATTATTTTAAGTAAGAACGACTGCTTCGAGCTGAAAGACTCTAAATATTCCAGTAAACAGTCAACAAACCATTGAAATTTTTGTTGTTGTGTGTAACTTAATTAATTTTGAGACTATTAAAAGACATTTAATGAGTACAAAGTGTCTTCTTGTGGCAAAATTCAGTTGAAATTTTTATCGCATCGAAGCCATTGGAAGATATAAAGACGGACTGTGTGGCCTCTTTAGTTTCAAAACTTTCTCGATCCAGTGCACGGTGAATATTAGACTAGGCTCCAACTGGAGAATATCACTGAACAACTTACCTCATCGTCACAAGCAGGAGGAGGAAGAGAACAGGCATAAAATCCAGGAAAATACTTCAAAATACTCTCGGCAGTCTTCTTGGCTTTCATGGTGTTACCTTCAGCTTTTAAGTTGAGAACCTTAAAACAACCGATGGATAAGTAAACATGCAAACTAGCGAACTGAAAAACATGATAACAAGAAAAAGCATGCCAAATCACAACTTTTTGCACATTTGCTGTTTTGGGATTCGTTCAATACTCGTCGAGCGACAACGATTCAGTATTTCTGGGCTCTCAATGTGGACACTGGTGAAAAACGCACTGCGCATGTTCACAGCTTTCCCGCTGAAATCTGCCTAATTTCCTTTGTAAAGCGATTTTTGTGAAAGTTTTTTACATTTTATAAGCTCGTTCACCGATATATAAGATTCATATTTCCATCAATCATTGTTTATGATATAGGTCCTTTTAGTATGTAGTTTCTATTTTTATCTTGTCATTTCTATTTTGAGAAAATGAGGTTTTTCGTAGTGTTTTCTGTGTTGTCGCTGTAAATCGCCAGGCGCTCTGTTTACAGATTTCAAGACGCGAGCGCCCACTGGCGGGAAAGCTGTGGGCATGCGCAGTGCGTTTTTCACCAGTGTCCCCAATGTGCGGTTTTGGAAGACCAATGATGTAATTACTTCTCCCAAAACCTTTCATTGAAATTAACAATTTATATATTTGCAGTCATTGTTTGAATTCTTACACTTTTTATGAAGTAATCGTTCATCGTTTTGCACCCTTCAGGGAGAGACAGCTGCACATCTCTTAAAAGCCAGATAAAGTACGGAAAAGCTTCAGAGAATTGCTGCTCATCGGTGGTTGGTTGGTTAGTGTACAGTTGAATGCGTTGAGACAGTTTAACAATAAAGCTGAATCAAAAGTTAAAGGGCAACAATATATGTCAAGAAAACGTTTATCGGCAATTTTTAAACTATAAAAAGCCTACACAAAATCTGAATGTTGAGTAAAATAGGTTCAACACTAGATAGACCAAACTGGAGTGAACTTTGCCATGTTTAATGATGTAAGTATTTTTGGAACTGAATGTAAGCAAGGATACTCCAGTCCTTCAAGATCAGATCTTTTTGGTACAACAGCAGAGTTATAAATCATGATAGATGACAACAAAACTGACAAAGTAAATATCCTGTGATCATCAGAATCTTCACTGGAAACTGCATCGATGCCTTCAGAATCCATCAGAACTACTGTGAACTCTCTTCCTGTACTGTCTTTGAATTTCTCTGGCACCACCCATAGCCATATTCCCATGGTCTCTGGATCAAGAAGATGACCCAATGGAAACACCTGCACATAAAGAGAAAATATTTAGTTGTGAATCACAACTTTGATTCTGATGGCTTTAAGGTGTGTGTTCTTTTTAATGTCTTTGCTTTCATATATAGTATTTTGAAAGATTTCCTGACTCTTGAATTTTTCTAGCGCGCGCTCATTCCAACTGACTTTGTAATTTTAGCTTACATATATTATTTCCCACGTCTGATGCAAGGAAACAGTAAAATCAATGAGATACTAGAAGTAGAGAACTTTGACACTGGCTGCATATAAAACTATAATATAACGATATAGAAATGAAGAAAAGTTATAGAGCATCGGTAGTACAAATCTGAGGGTCGTGCGAATCCCAGCGAGGTCGAAAAGTAATTTTTCCGAATTTATTTCCAAGTGCCTTTCTCCCAGAATAACCTCCTTCCCAGCACCATAACTTTCCTTCATTTTCTATATCATGTATCTCATAGTGCCATGCGGTCCTTATATTCAAATAATAATGATACCTGTCCCTGATCAAACACCTTGCTCAGGATGTAAGATTTCCCGCTTCTGCAAGGGCCAGCAATGGAAACAACGCATACGGGACCCTTGATTTCTTTTAGTTGTTCCAGTGCTTCAGGAACAACGGTTAGAGTTCGACGTTCGACATTCAGTTTCTTGCTGTATTTTCCGGTCTTCTCGTCCCAAGTACAGTTATTGGGTAACACGAGGGGTATGGCGAGCTTATCGTGTTTGCTTAGTGACATCGCACTTGGTCAGGCTGCACTTGATAATAGTCATAATAACAAAAGCAAGTTATGAAAGTTCCTAAGAACCATGATGTAGTCAATCAATCGATTGCCGTAACAATTTTTTTTAGGGTTAATCTAATTAAAAGTTCTTACGCGATTTTAATTGAACAAAACTATCCTCACCCTAGTTGTCACCACCCTTCTGTATGTAGTTTATGTAAAATATGCAGCCAAGCAGTGAACAGAAACTTAGGTCGAATAGGAAATCATTAACCGAAAAACAACCTTTGATATCGATGCAAAGTTGAACATCTCTTGATTTACAGCTGTAACTTTGCCGTATATTGAAACCAAATACATCCTTTTATCATTATGTTTTTAACTTCATCTTGATTTCACCACACTATGTTTGGTCTTGACGCACAAAATTAGCTTGTAACTTGTTTAACAGACAAGATAGAAGCTAATTTTGTGCGTCAGGACCAAACATAGTGCTGTGAAATCAAGATAAAGTTAATATCAAAGTCTTGCGAGGCCAAAATACTCATAATATCAAAGGATGTTTTTTACAAAAAAATTCAAGGTGGAAAGTAACATTTTATTAGTATTATGCATGATTTTTCAGAATTTCAAGCGCTTTTAATGCTATACCTAAACTGAGAACATATGACTTTCATGATACCTAGCATTTTGAAATTCCTGCAGCAAAACAAGTAACAAGTAACAAGTTTTAAATCGGTAGAAAAATCGGTGGATTTTTGCACGCACGGAAATGCAGACAATTTTAAGACAAATGTTGACCATCACGACTTAAGGAATAAAAGACGAAATTCCGTGTTTGATACTCTGGTCAAAACACGCGGGATGTAGGGAGAGCACGAGAGAAGCGTAGGAAACCACGACGCGTAGCGGAGTGGTTTCCAGCTTTTCGAGTGCTCTCCCTACATCCCAAGTGTTTTGATCAGAGTATCAAACACGGAATTTCGTCTTTTATTTCTTTTCTAAAATTAAAAGAAAAAAAGAAATTTTTGACGTGCGCGAGCGTGTTTTGATACTGCAATCAAACATGGTTTTCGACCAATCACAGCGCGCGTAGTATCCCAAATATTTTAGAAATCAGATTAAAGTCTCGAATACACCATCAAAAGGGATAACGATTCAACTATTACACAAGTAAAAACAGAACTGATATATTGATGCGAAGTGAGCGAGTTAAAAGAGAGACATCTCTCTAGCCGTTAGTTGAGAGTAAACTTTTTTATTATATATATAACGAGACTTTCATAGAGTAAATGCCATAAATAGAAATCTATATRCTATATTTTCACATGTGAAAAATAGCGATACGTCCAATCAGAAGCGCGTATAGCATTTCTCACACTGTAAAAATATAACCAATCACAACACAGAAAAACCGTAATCAGCCAATCAGAAAGCGACGTTCACAACACTGAAATGGCTTCTCTTAGTCACATACCGCGCGTTGATGGCAAAATGGCTGAAGGTGAACTGTGTTTGTTGATCAAAATTCCACATTTGAAGAGTTTATTAGTGGACAGGAAGGCAAACAAACTAAAGCAAAATAAGAAGAGATGTTTTTGTCCAAGAGAATTAAGTCTTTTGCCATCCAGAATGAACATGAAAGCATGGAAAACATCAGCCAAAACTATAACTTTAACGAACAGAAATTTGTCTCGTTGGTGTTCACCATGAGTTCAGGCCGTTTTATACCAAGTTTTGATCGTTTTCTGCAAAATTTAAACTTATCTCCATGCAATATAGAAAGACAGGACTTCTGTAAGACAAGAGATGTACCTGTAGGAAAGCAAAGTCAGCTCAAACGAAGACGGAAATTGCAGCGCGTTATCTTACATAAGTACTGACCAAGAGAAGTAGTTTTCACGACGAAGAACTGTTATTTGTTCCTCTACTTACTATAAAATCTCACGAAAACTTGGACATTCCTGCAGCTTAGTGGAAAGTAAGACTATCAATGTAGTTGTTTTTTGTAAGCCTTAAGTTTTATCAAGTTAATTTATTAAGTTTAATTATCCGTGCATTTTTTTCGACATAAGCTCATTGAGTTTGTTTCTTAAAATAGTTGAACAAGCTTATTAAAAAGTATGCCGAATGAAAGTCTCGTTATATATATAATAAACAGCTTATAGCATGGAAAGTGCTTTGTACGGGATTTTATTCACTCGTTGTTTGCATCATAAACTCACTCGCTCGTTCCTCGCTCGTTCGTTGTATGATGCAAACAACTCGTGAATAAAATCCCGTACGTCGCACTTTCCATGAAATAAACTCTATATAATCKCTTGAAAGCTGTGTTTCTATACAAGTCAACACGAGAAGATAAAATCCATATCTCCAATTGACCATGTAATATTCTTAAAAGAAACTCTTTCCAAAATGTGTGATATTTACCGCTTCACAAGAGACAAATATTCATATGACTAGCAAATTTCTATATAGAAAAGTTGATTTTGTTTAATTTTTGTCTGTGTGTATATATGGATTTTCACTGTACTTATGTCATCTTAAATCCAGGACAAGCTGACACTTTTAGGTAGAATAGGATGAATGAGAGACTGAAATATATTCATTCTAGTTGATATTCAACATCTTGGTGTGACGTTGCATTTTTTGTTAAGGAACTTCGACGAGCTAGTTAACGTACCTGGATATTTAGCTTTCTTGACAAATGTGGAAGCGAGTCAGTTATGAATAATTGCCGATTCGTCCGTTGGGAACTTTTCTTCGATTAAATTTGATATCCTTTACACTTTCAAAAATAGTGGGAACTAGCGGTAAACTAGTGTGAGCTGCGTCGGTGTTTCTAAAGAAATCCGACGAAGGATTAACATCCGAAACGTCAGTAAGTTATTTCCCATACTTTTTTACGGTGTTAAACTTATCTTTTTTACACAACTGTTACTTTCAAAAATAGACATTGGAAATACAAATACAAAATCTTCTTATTTTGTAATTTTCTCAGGTTTTATAAAGAGAATGGAGCAACTTTAAAATACTCCGTCCTGTATGACGCAATAGAAATTTGACTATAGCTCATGGCGGGGCAAGTGACGATAGTTTAGACGCTTGAAAGCCGTGTTTCTATACAAGTCAACACGAGAAGATAAAATCCATATCTCCAATTGACCATGTAATATTTTTAAAAGAAACTCTTTCCAAAATGTGTGATATTTACCGCTTCACAAATCGAGACGAAAATTTGTTTTCTTTGTGAATTTTCTCTACTTGTCATCTCAATAGTTAGATGTTGGATTTTTCTTACTTCGGCATCAGGTAACATACCTGGATATGTAGCTTTCTTTAAACAATACTTATAGAGCTGTAGAAAGTATTGCTTGTCTCTCCGTGCTTCGATTCAATCTCGTAGCTCCAGCGCCCCTATCTCGACGAAAAACAGTAGCTCTGCAGGGGGGATACACCGAAATTTCTCGCTCTCTGATTGGCTCATAAAATAAACAGTTGTGTAAAAATATGAATAGTACGTGAAACAGTTTACTGGTGTTTCATTCACAATTTACTTTTTTACGGTGTTAAATTTATCTTTTTACACAACTGTTTCTTTATAGAAACACTACTGCAGCTCACACTAGTTTGCCGCTAGTACCCACCAAAAAATAAACACACATGCCGCCGGAAGTGAAAATACAACCGAGAAAAACACTCAAATCATTCTGTATTTCGCTACCTCACCTTGAATTATTTCTTTAAAAGCATTTTTTAAGTCTGCGAAGTGTGAATTTGAAAGTAATATGATCAATTTAAGTATAAAATGGAATACAGCGAGGCGACAAACTGTCACGCCATGTCATGATAATCGCTAACTGGGTGACCTACGTAGCACGCAGTTGATGTAATGTATTCATAAAATGTATTGTATTCCATTGTTTCTCGTTCTATTGTATTATGTGTTTTGTATTATATCTTTATGAATATATTACATCAACTGAGGGCTACGTAGATTCTCCCAATCGCTAACCGTCACTGTATGCTACGATCTGATCATAATACAATCTCGTACCCAGACCCTACTCTTGTTGCCTCTATCGGTCTGTCGTAGGCTCTGTGACACCCTATAAACCGGAAGCAAGAAATCTTGCTTCCGGTTTTATATGCTCTATGCTTTCTCTCCTAGCCTGTGTACATCCGTTTCTCACCCCTCCAAAAAAATCGGGGAGATTTTTGGAGGGGTGAGAAACGGATGTACACAGGCTATTTCTCTCCAAACTCTGTCAGAATGTTTCGTCCGGGCAATCGCTGGTAAAGACAGGATTAATAAGCTAGGTTTCCTGTGCTGCTAAAATAACCGTTAACACTAGCGTTCTGGAAATTTTGAATTTTCGTCTACTACAATTATGCTTTCTTCGGATCAACTCCTGTTTTCATAAAATCATTGAGAATTATGGCAATTTTTGAGCTTTGATCTTCAAGTGCTTAAAAACTGTACTGGATTGAAAGCACTTGGAGGCTCTTGTCTTTTCAATAACAATATCTCTTGTCTCATCAAAGATAAATGCGAATCTTTATCAACAGAATTGGTTACGTGTATTTACTGTTATTATTTCTTTATTGTATTTCTAAAATCCAAATGTAATGAGAACTAAACATCTAATGTCACATGACTATTAAGGAATCATCTGAAACTAAAGCTTCTTTTTCTTGTAGGGTTTGACTTGGCTTGACTTGCTGTCCAAGTCAGAGAATAAGGCAGCCATTGTCGGGGCTTTTTGGTCTTTGGAGTGTAGCAATCAGGTTGTCCATTTGTTCTCGCTGAAGTTGTAT